CTTTCTTTAGGCCAGAAGTGAGCGATCCCTAGTGGGGATTTTTGGCAAAACTGACTTTTGAAAGCACCGGTTCACCACCAACGGACTAATTTTCGGCAAGAAAAAATATCGATTTATATATAACTTGACATGCTCTATCTAATGAGCATAGTGAGATTCACCCGGCCAAAACGTTTGTATAAATGGGCGGACCTGCGTGGAAACACCCATGTAACGTTTTATTTTAAAAACAAGGATATGAAATAACAAGATCTGAAAAAGCCGAATTAAGAATAAAAATTGAGAGTTACTCTTAGAATCGTTTCATATTTTATTATGGTGATGACGGTCCAACACTCTTAATTTCATCTTCATTAATTTCAAAAATCCATTTCTGTTGTGGACTTGTAACATTATCAAATGGTTCTTTTAGTTCTAATTCTTTACCATCAAATTTACGTACTTTAATACGATGTACCGTTTTACGTCCACTACTACTACCATCATCATGCTGAAAGACTTTTTCATTCACTTTCTGTTCTTCACCACTAGCTATTTGAACATCTAATTTCTCTGTATGTTTATCAGCCACACCACGATATTCAACTTGCACTTTCAATTCAGTTGGTGTATTATTTTTAATGGTACAACTAGAAGAGAACAAAAAAAGGAAGGCAGAGTGATACACGGCAAAATAAATACGGCAGGTCAGTGAGTCTAGTCATGTAATGCAGCTTTGCTGTCCGTATAATTTCTAGACGAAAGCTCATCAGATACCAGTGGTTCGGAGTAAAAGAGTAAAAGTTCAAGAGTAAAAGTTTTGAATTTGCCTCTGATCCGATATTATACGAGAAAAGTCTAGTTCACGTCTAGAAGCAGGTGTGGGTCCTCTACCATGCATCCCACACTCAAGTCCATAGAGACAGATTTTTGAAAGAGGCTATGTTGATTGACAGCATGAGGTAAGGAACGCAAGACTCTTACCTGTAAACATGACGTGGAGCACGTAAACCACAGAACATGCCCTGATTTGACTGTTTATCACCGGATAACATTGGAAGAGAAGAGAGAAAGATTATCTACAAGGAGAACAAAAGAAGAAAAATGATGTGTAATATTCTATCATTAAAAGTTTTTCTGAACTAAAAGACGTATTCTTTCTGTTTTTCATTGATCATTTCATTACTACGCCTGATCAAAGTTCCACAGAGATCGAGCATGTAGCATCACTCCTAGTCTGATCTGATCGGTTCCTGGTTCCGCAACTACCAGTTCTCCGATTATCTCATACACATCTTTTGATGACTCGGAAGAGTGTAACAGATGAACCGGCAGGAAGACATGGTTTCTAACCCCAAAACTGACCATGACCGTTTAGAACCAATACATGCCTACGGCTTGTCCACGTAACGCGACGCTGATCAAGTATTTTTTAAAAACTTCTAAAAATTCAATTTTCTGACCTAGACATTTTATTCAAGAGATTTTAACAGCATACCATTGAACAGAGAATTCAATTCTCTACAAAACCATTTATTTGTTTTGAGATCTATTTTTCAGTCGAGACATAGCGGCTGCTTGAACATTTCAACTTGCGGCTTGGTCTGAAAGTTTCAGAGGAATTTTCAAACTTTATTTTCAACTGGAGTCTTTTCAGGAAGCCTAGAACTACACAGTATAAAAGTATGAGGTTTCTTGAACAACATTTAGTGCCTAAAAATGATGCCACAAAAACGTGTGTCACAGCATTACTTTAGTAAATTACAAATAAAGTAAAGGGTTCCGAAAAAAAGTCTTTTAGCTAAAGAAAGCTCGTTAGTTCTACTATAAACTTTACTCAAGACACTTTTGAGCTCTTCTAAATTCGCAGAAATTTGCACTTTAATGAGGAGTAGTTAGAATTTAAGGTACTTTTTATGTCACAGCGTTACCGATCTAAAAACATTTTTTAGAAGCTCCAGTCTTTAACCAAAAATGTTCGTTTTTATACTACTTTATACGAAGTAGAGTAAGAAGAGCCGCGTTGAACTTACAGTTTTCGAGAAAAATGTAAATTACTGTGTCAAAAATGTCACAGCGTTACATTTGAACAAGCCGTCTAACTCAGGCTCTTTTCCTCGATTAAAAGGCGGCATCACTGATAAAGTTTCTACGGTGTTGAGAAACAATAGCTGTCAACTATCAGAAAACCAAAACAAAGGCTGTGATGATTTTACTCTTCCATTTTTCCATAATGGAGAGCACATAGAAAATATATGCGCTGGCTACGAAGTTTAAGATCGTAATCGTAATGCACTGACCTCAAACTACTGGCATCTCACTTTTTTAGCTTTCGGCTAAAACGTAGACTACCTTAAACCTAGATGATAAGCGCAAAAATGTGAACTTTCCTTACCGTCGTGAACTATTCAGACGAACAGAAAATATTTTAATAGAATAACACCAGTCACACTTCTGTTCAGATAGTCTAACTGTCTTAATGAAATAAATAAATAAGAGAAAAGGAGCAGTAAAACAATAGTCTAAACAGACTCATTTCTTTCTTTTCTTTACACTGACTGACTGTATGAAAAACAAAACATATTCTAGTTTAGGTAGATGAATTAGTGCCGCATCTTTTCTCCTTCTATCCTTTAGTCGTGTTTAATTTCAATAAAATTGATTTAAGCTTTATTTGTAAAAAGAAGAAAAAGAAAAGAATTTCCATTAAATAAATTTAGAACAGCAAAATCCATGACATCATTTTGACTGTTTAACGAGGAAAAATTGCTAGTATAATAATAAGTAAGACAGACACATCGAACGCATGTAGTCAGAGAATAACATAAAAGAACATTCACAAACAGACAACACACACACAGAGAAAAACGAGAAATACATAAATAACAAGTATGTAAAATAAAAGAACAAGAAAAAGGAGCTGGATAGAACGAAAGAAAGGGGATAGAAATTTTAGTTTAAAAACGTTTGGTGTTTTGATGTAGTTAGTAACAAATAAATGTGAATAATCTAGGGTATAAAATTACTCTAAAAAAACTAAGTTTGCAAGTATAAAGGAAAGAGAAGGAGCCAGGGATGACTAGTGAGAGAAAAGTATATTACGTTGAGGCTGGTAACGTGAACACTCCAACAGAAAATGCTTGACAGTTTCTACTTTCTCGGAAGCACAGAGCCGACTAGAACTCAATTTTTTCTCTAAGTAGATCAAAATTCAATGGACAAAAATTAACTCAATTCTCATTTGACTTAGTAAACAATCATATTTACGCTCACTGAACTTGAATCTTGGCCATCAAAAAATTATGAATTTTAGTTCGAAATTTTATTACATTAGAAAATTTCGTGCTTGCTCCGCGCTGAACCAAATTGGATAAAAACTGGGCGCCAGATGCAAAATTTGTCGGTGAATCCGACAGGGTTACCCCTCCCTACTTTTTTAAAAAATTTGGTCAAATTTTCTCCCAATTTGTGAAAAAAATATGAACGATTTACTCCCAAATTTGGGAAAAGATAAGAACGATTTACTCTCATTTCGGAGAAACTCGGAGAGGGATTTACTCCAATTTTGAACAAAGTCAAGAACGGTTTATTCGTAATTTGAGAAAAGATAAGAACGAATTTCGGAGAAATCTGAGGGATGATTTACTCCGATTTTGGTTTTTTCGAATACTAAAGTGCAGCTTGCTCCGAAAACCGATATTAAATGTGTTCTTTGAAGAAGCTTTCTTAATCGACTTAGATGACCTATTTCTATTTTTTTCCGCCTACGTCTGAGAAAAATACAGTGAATGTAACGTTTAGGCAAACTTAATGAGTGATGCTCATCAGTTATTTATACTTCACCATGAGCTCGGAGAGTCAGGGGCTTATTTTTGGAGACCTTAGTCCCATTTTTGGATTTACCCCTCCCATGCTCCCAACCTCTTCGCGCCGCCACTGGGAACCCCTGTCGGATTTAGCGACAAATTTTGCATCTTGCGCCCAATTTGGTTCAGCGCGGGACAAGCACCAAATTTTCTAATGAAAATGTCATATCAGGTAACGAATTCCATTGTCTCATAGCCCACGGAAAAAAGCTGTTACTTTCCGTATATGTACGAAACATATGAACTTGCTTTCTCTCTCTGGAACGTAAACACATATTTATAAGAGGTTGCTGAGGAATCCATTCAGCTGTGAGACCTTTTTTAATTTTAAAAAACTGCAAAATTTTGTCAGTTGCATACGTGTGTTCAATCGGAATCCAACCTAAAACTTTAAGTACGTTTTCCCTAGAAGAAAGACGCATAACGCCACTAAAGATCAGGGCAGCTTTGTATTGTAAATCAAAAATTGGTTGCAGATGGGATGGTACAGTATCTATAGAATTTGCTTTGGAGTGAATCTGCTTCAAAGTAGAATAATATCAGCATAAGTGATCACAGGGCGTACGTAGGATTTAAAAATTTGATTGAGACTAGATGTGTTCAGAATATACTTATGTCTGCGCATTAGATGGAGTGTATAATTACATTTTTTTAATATATACCGAACATAAATCGATCGATTGAATGTTTTTGTTCATCGATGAAACGAAGAAGAGAGTTGTTCATAAAGAGCGAAGATACGGCTGGTACCTTGCCGAATAAAGCAACACATTTTTGAGAGTTTAACAGCAATTTCCAATATTTAGACCATTTATTTATTTTTTCTAAGTCAGAATTAATGATGTCCGTTGCACAAATATTATTACTGCTATGATAGAGAGATGTATCGTCAGCAAATAATATTAGTTTTGACTGTGTTTGCAAAGAAATATCATCAATAAATAGAAGGAATAGCAGCGGTCCAAGAACGGACCCCTGAGGAACTCCTCTATTTATTGGCAGTGGATCAGACATTTGTCCGTTTACCACTGTGACACATTTTCGAATTTTAAGGTAGTTCTACCGTTTTACTAGTTTATCTGACACACCTTACTTCTTCAGTTTGTAAAGGAGACCTGTGTGCCAGACTTTATCGAACGCCTTTGAATAATCACGGAATACAGAGAGAGTAAAATTTCCACGGTCGAAGTTCTCGCTTATTTCATGCACAAGATCTACCAGTTGATTAACCGTTGAGTCCCCTTTGATAAATCCTGACTGAAAAGGCGTTAATAATTTATGTTTTTTGATATGATCATATAGTTGATTGAAAACAAGTCTTTCAAGTACCTTTGATTTTTTGAACATAGCGAGCAGTAAACTTATCGGCCTGTAATTTTTAGAAAGCGTACAGTCACCATCTTTAAATAACGGATGAATGACACCTAGTTTCCATGTATCAGGAAAAGCTCCATTAGACAACGAGAATTTAACAATATGTGCAAAGTCATTTGCAATTACTGGACCAACTTCCAGTAGAATTTTCGATGTAATACCCTGGCTAGTAGCTTTGTTTGAATTTACTTTTCGTAAACACTTTTCTACCTCTAGTACAGAAATGGTAAAAAGAGAAAGACTTGAAGCACTTGTGAGAATGGTGTCTGGATGAATGGTTTTATTATACTCACTATTATTCATAGAACAAATTTTTGTGAAATGAGTGTTTAATATTTTAGCTTTTGATAAATCATCAAAATAAATAATCCCATTTTCATCTTTTAATGTTGAAATATATGCTGACTGTGTACGTTTAAAAAGAGATTTGACTAATTTCCACCATGACTTTTGTGATGGTGGCAAATCCTGATATCAATTTGATGAAATGAACGTGCTTAAATCGAACGTTTGCTCAATGATAATGGTAGTGGCAGTACTGGAACATTGAACATCAAAAGGACCTTCAGGAGGCATTTAAGTTTTCGATGGACGTGGAAGTTCATCGTGTTGCATGGAGGGAGGTGTTATATCACGTACTAGAGTCTTGCCATAAGGCAGAAGATCATACTCAAGGTTATTGCACAAACATATAGTCTAATTTATTGCACGAGAATATATACAAGACTACACTCTAAAAAAAAAGCGTCGTTTACTAAACCTTAAAGAGTTTAGTAAGCGAA